CAGTGAAGCAGCCAGCAGATATTACAACATGAGACCAAGTGTTAGAGTTTGCTTTTCTAATAAGAAAGGATTTGATAGAGTATTAGGAATTGGATATTTCCCATGCTTTATTCAGAGAAAGTTCAACAAAAAGAAAAACACAGAAAGGACTGAAAAAAAGATCTGAGTTTTGCAAAGAACTGAACAGGACTGGGGAAAAAAAATAATCCTTTAACTCTGTATCCCCTTTCTTCTRCCTAAGCTGCTTAGAACTTCCTCTGAGTCCCTAACAAAGATGTGTTTCTGCCACAGGCTGCGGGCTCAGGGAGCTGCTCTGTGTCCCCAATGATCCCGCTCTGGCAGCCCCACACCCTCTGCTGCAGGGAGTGAGGGAGTGAGAGTGGGGCACAGGAACAGAGCTTCAGGAAAGGGCAGGAGATGGAGCCTTGTTCTTGYCAGGCCCCATCAAACACTGCACACCTTCCCCTTCCTTCCCCCTCTGATCTCCTCGAGGCTTGCACGTGGCTGGGATTAAAGCCATTTCCCTGGGCTAAAACCTACCCAAGAAACAATTCCATGGCGTCATCCCCCACATCCACAATTTCTCCAAACAAACTTTTTGAAAGGGAGTCAGAGCAAAGAGAAGCACTCAGTGACATTCCTGAGGGAGCAGAGGGCACAACAGCTGCTCTGGAATTGCAAGGGTTGGTGCCAGGTAGAAATACAAGGCAGAAATACAGGTAAAGCTCTCAGGTGTTTGGGGTAGAGGCACTGCTGGAGTATTTGGAGAGCTGAGAATGGGAACCTGAGAGTTTCTGCTTCCTCKGGTGGTCCCTGGGAAATATGGGACMKGGCCAGGGTAGGGGGAGCTCCTTGTTTTCCCAGCTAACCTTGGCAGGTCATGTTCATTCATGGAGTTTTTATTGGTGAGTGTTCTCCTGCGCTGGAACAGGAGCAGGGCACCCTCTGTAAACCCTTTGTGCTCCACAGAATTCCTCACTCCAGACAGACAGCAGAGCCCTGTTGATTTGGGCCCAACAGGAAACATCCTGGTAAACATTAGCCAGGAAATGGCTGGGCACCTTTGCTGATTTGAATTAAAAGGGCTTTAATTGCTGTATTATATAACTTGCTTTATGTAAGCTTCTCCAGACAGTCRGTGATATACTCACAGCACGCTTATCCAAGAGGAAATTTTTCTCCTGCTGAAGCAAATCAACACATTTCAGCTGTGTGTGGGGGCAAGGGATTTGTTGAAAGGAGAATTCCTTTGTCATCCTGCCTGAAGAGAGGTGTAATTCTTCTGCCTCTTTGATCTGCTCGGGGGCAGCTCAAGCAGGGCTTGTAAAGGAGGCTCTGAAGGGGCCATGGATGATTTTAAAAGGCAGGAGGAGAATGCTGGTGCTGGGGACTGTTTTCAAGGATCAAGGCTGATCATCTTGTTCTCAGCCTTGTGTGGTTATTATCTGTGCAGCTGCATGAGCAGATCCTCAGTCACATTCCCAAAGGTTTCCAGGGGAGGATGGATCAGAGCTGTGGCAGTGGTTTATCGTGACCCCTGGTGTGAGGGCAGGTTAGGAACCAGAATTCCTGCAGGTTTCTCCCCTTCACAMCCATTCCCTGGGGTTAGGATCCCCTCTGTGCCTAAGGAGTGTGTATGATGCATCCCAAAATTTAATCAAGATATTCTGGTAAAGCCAATGTTCACATCCTTGCAGAAACGGACAAAATGAACAAAATGGCCAGCTGAAACTGGCGGGGAGGGGTGCACCACAAGGTGTCAGAAATGCTGGAAAACTTCTTGGAATGTTTTATTCCTGCTCCAACTATGCATGAACACGAACATATTAAAAGTGCATCAGGAAAATAAAACTTGAGAATTATTCAGAAAAGTGTGACCTCGCTCCCCTTTCCTCAAATACAGGCTTAAAGTTTAACCTTTGTCAGCTCCATTTGCAACCAATAAATTCAACAGCAAAAGGGGGAAAAGGCACAGTACAAAGTGACCTCTATTTCTTTCACCCGAATTTTACTGAGCAGGGGAAGAAGGTGAATCAGTACAAGTACAGAAAGACGGCAGCTCTGTGAGACACAGAAATGAGTTTATTCTTAGGGCTGCTGATACTAACAAGGACATTAAATAATAGAATTACTTCTGGATTTACAAAGTGCAATAATTTGTCCTTAGACTCCATCCTTGGTAATTTAATATTTTCTCTTYGCTGCTGATGAACACATGTGAAGGTACTGGGTCTAATGGGAGCATTTCTGGCTTAGCCAGCTGAGACATCAGGCAGCTTCTCTAAGCTGATCTTGCAGGGTAAAGGGACATTGCCAGACAGCAATTTGTGACCTCACAAAACTGCTGTGGTGGCAAGAGGAGCCTCAGAAGGGGCACTCGGTCCTTTCCTGTGTCAGCTGTGCCACCAGCACAGACACTTCTCCAAGATTTAAATGGCTACAGTTAAAGAAGACAAATTTAACACTGAACCCCCATCAGCATCTAACGGATCTCTCAGGATTATCTCCATTTTGGACATATGAAATTAGGGTTTAGGGGAGGTAAAGAACTCTTGCCACAAATACTCAAGCACATGAAATCAAGCAAAATTTGGGCAGTCCATTGGCCACCAATTTGAGCCCAAGCATTTTGCTGCTGACCGAAAGGAAGCCTGGGTTGCCCAGTGATAGGAGGCARGGTTTGAGATAAGGGGTGCAGCATCTTAAGCTTGCCCTAAAAAAGCCATTCCTAAGGCTTATTTTACTGCCTTCCCTGCTGGAAAGGCAAAATAACAACAGAAACACAGAGCTCTCAGCAGCTCCTGATCCAGGTGCACACCCAGGTATCCCAAAGGAAACATCAGCCACTGCAGCTACATCAGACTGTGTGGCTGGGGATTCTCCTCCTCAGAGACCCAGCAGGCTCAGGACACCCTCTGTGAGCCAGCACCAGGAATATTTCCCCCTCCAGTCCTTACTTGGTTTGGGAGCCGCAGCATTTTGCCCCAGGRCATGTGATCAGAGCACACAGCTCGTTCAGCTGCTCCAGAAGGGTTTTGTTCAAGCAAAGCTGAATAAAGAGGCACACATGGGTCCAGGGCAGGCTCTCAGTGCACTGATCCAACATCCTCTGTGACAGCCAAATGCATTTAATGCTTGAAGGGTGATAAACTCAGAAATCAATGATTTCTAAGAACACGGCTAAGTTTGGGGTCAAACCCAGGCCTTAGGGTGGTSTGTGCCCATCCCAGGCAGTGTCTGGCTCTGCAGTGCCTCTCCCCACACCTGTGTGTCTGAGCAACTCCAACCTTGGGAATTATTTAAATACAGGTTGATCCAAATTTYAGACTGAACACATCTGTAGCATTTTCCCCATCAATGACTTTTATTCCCTGGGCCTCTTGTTAACATGGCCAGTCATAAAGGACAAAATAAGAGGCACACAGAGCTACACTTTCCTTTAAAGGATCAGATTCARAAATCCATTCTTAGTCTTAGCATCCCCTTTGTGGTGAACAAACCCCCAGACTGTCCTGCTGGAGTTTAATCTTTTTTTTTATTCTCACTTGATAATCCTATTTGAGWTGCTTGAGTGATTCCAGGGTCTGAATTTCACACCTCCAAACCCCRTCTCTAAGCACACTAAAAATAGCTGCACATCTGGTTTAATGATACCTTCTGCATCTGCTCCCCTTTTTCCCTCAATTTCCTGTCCACATTTCACCCGGGGTCTCCCCATGCTGAGGTACACACAAACCAGGATTCATCTCCTAAAAGGCAGGAAGGTCTCCAAACCCAGCAGTTTCCCCCACWTACACCCACGCTGGAGTTCCTGATGCTCCAAGCCTCACTTACACTGCTGAGCACAGGACAATATTAACACTTGACTGACTCAGGGTTTATTGAGCAAGCCAAAATGATTATTTTTTGCTGGAATGCTCCTTAGGCGAGGAACTGTGAGTTTCCTTAGCAGCTTACTGGAACTCTTCCCCATCAGCTGTGGGAAAATATGCAAATTCTATAACTCTGTCCTAAAYGAGTGTCTTGAGCCTGTGTCAGAGTTTCCCCCTGGCCTTCAGGTACAGATTGACCCCCACTGGTTTCTGTTTCTCGCTCTGCAGAGCACCCTCAGCACAGGGAATGTTCAGCTACCTCCGGGAACGCTTCAGCAGCCACCTGCGGGAGCGCAGCCGGCGCCGCGCCAGGCTCGTCTCCAAGGATGGCAGGTGCAACATCGAGTTTGGCAACGTGGAGCAGTCCAGGTTCGTGTTCCTGATCGACATTTGGACAACCATCCTGGATCTCCGGTGGAGGTACAAGATGACCATCTTCATCTCGGCCTTCCTGGGCAGCTGGTTCCTGTTYGGGCTGCTCTGGTACGTGGTGGCCTACATCCACAAGGATCTGCCCGAGTTCAACCCCTCCATCAACCACACCCCCTGCGTGGAGAACATCAACGGCCTCACCTCAGCCTTCCTGTTCTCCCTGGAGACCCAGGTGACCATCGGCTACGGCTTCAGGTGCGTCACGGAGCAGTGCGCCACCGCCATCTTCCTGCTCATCTTCCAGTCCATCCTGGGCGTCATCATCAACTCCTTCATGTGCGGGGCCATCCTGGCCAAGATCTCCCGGTCCAAGAACCGGGCCAAGACCATCACTTTCAGCAAGAACGCCGTCATCAGCAAGCGCGGGGGGAAGCTGTGCCTGCTGATCCGCGTGGCCAACCTGCGCAAGAGCCTGCTGATCGGGAGCCACATCTACGGCAAACTGCTCAAAACCACCATCACCCCCGAGGGCGAGACCATCATCCTGGACCAGGTCAACATCGAGTTYGTGGTGGATGCTGGCAATGAGAACCTTTTCTTTATCTCCCCGCTCACCATTTACCACATCATAGACAGCAACAGCCCCTTYTTCCACATGGCGGCAGAAACCCTCCTGCAGCAGGACTTTGAGCTGGTGGTGTTTTTGGATGGCACCGTGGAGGCCACCAGTGCCACCTGCCAGGTGAGGACGTCCTATATCCCTGAGGAGGTGCTCTGGGGGTACCGCTTTGCTCCCATCGTGTCCAAGACCAAAGAAGGGAAATACAGGGTGGACTTCCAGAATTTCAGCAAGACGGTGGCCGTGGACACTCCCCACTGCGCCTTCTGTCTCCACAACGAGAAGGAAGCCAAAGCCAAAGAGAAGAAAGGCTACGACAATCCCGGCTTTGTCTTGTCTGAAGTCAGTGAAACCAGTGACACAAAAATGTAGATCCAGGTATTGGTGGGACTGAGTTTTCAGAGAGAATTCAGCCATAAGAGGATCGATAAATAACTCAGTAAAACAGAACACAAACACAGGTTTGGGTTTGCTCTAACCCAGCGTTTGTTTTCTCAAAAGCCTCCAATCAAAGAGGAGCAGCCTACCAGTGATCACTATTTAACTACACTATATATATATATTTGATAGAATTTATATTTTTGTACCTAAGGGACATTTAATGAAGCTGCTATGTTGGAACTCGTCCAACTCACTGAAGTTCCCAGGAGCAAGCAAGGCTGTTAAAAAGCCTGAAAAGATGGGAAGAAATTTTAGGACGTGTTAAAGGTACACAGCTGCTGGAATGAAAAGCAGAACATGAAAAGGGGAGACAGAAGGAAAAGCTAAAGAAACCTAAGGGACTTAGGAGCYGAAACCTCAAAAAATTGTCTCTTTCTGGTTGCCAAAGTCCTCTATGAAAACAAACTCTCTGGCTCTGGAACTTGAGCACTTTTGAATGTTCTCAAACCATTCCTTCCCTCTTTCTTTGGGGCTGGCACAGCTGCAGGATGGAGCAGTAAGGGATGGTACAAGTTTAGGAAATAGAGAAGACGGAGCTTGGGCCAAGCTGCTGCAACTCCAACTCTGAAATCTGACTTGTCCTGTCTGAAAGCCTTTGGTTCCTTTCAGGGAAAAATGAAAACTGAAACACCAAGGAGAAGCAGAGATCCACTCGGGGACAGGAGGAATTTTGCAGTTTATTCCCAACCGTCCCAGCCTTCAGCTGCTCTTCACTGCCCCAAGAGCTGCCTGCCTGGGGAATAGGGAAACATTGGAAAGCAAATCTCCAGCAAGGAGGGAGATGGAGAACACACTGATTCCTTCACACCTGGCAGAAAACACTCTGCTGGGAAGAGAGAGGAAATTCCCAGCTCTGAATGTATCCTTCCCAAAAATCCCCAACGTAAATATAGATTATCTTCCCCTTTGAAGCACCAAGATCTTATTCCAACAAAAACATGGCCCAGGAGCCTCCTACCAACATTTGGCTTCAGATTCAGTTGCAGCCTGCTCATCTCCCCACAGCCCAACCTGAACCCCTACCGGAGACAAATCCTGCTCGGTGGGAGCCGAGTAGTGCTGAACATTTTCTGGGGATGATTTCTGACACTGAAGTTGCAAATGCAACAAGAAGCTTCWATACTCTTTTAGTGCATTTCTACTTCCTCAAAGGCTTTTTTTTCCTTTCCCCAACTCATTCTGTTACTGAGAGTTCTAGTGGCAGACCAAAGAGTTTTTTGGGAACTCTTCCCAGTGATGTAACTTGGCTCATCAATTTTCAATGTGGTGGTAAAATGGAAATACTGTTAAAAGCTGCWGGACTGAGTGGTTTTAAAAGAAAGGGAGAATTCATCAGGTCAGATGGTGACAGGAGAAAGTTGTGCTGCAAGTGAGCATGGTGTGAGGATGGAAATAAAACTCTAGGAACCAGAGAGGGTTCAGGTGTCAGCCCCAACGTGGTGTGAATTCCTCTGTTGGGTCAGAACAAATCATTCTGTGTCTCTGATTTGCCATCTGTACCATGGGACATAAACCCTGACATTGTACAGGGAACAATGTTCTGGACAGTTCCATCACTAAAGCACTTTAAAAGCCAATTCTCAGCTGTGCCAACCTTTCCTCAGTGCAYCACTGTCACCCCCTGCTCCACCTCTGCATGGAAAGCTCAGCACACAGAGTTCTGCCCTCATCAGAAGTGGCTGCACCAGGGCCAGGAATGTGACCAGAGAATCAGGAGTGAGACCTCTGGGGTAACTCACAGCTACTGCCTGATGTTTGAATTGTGCTGGTTTTGCAGCCTTGCAAGCCCACAGTGTGCAAACCATTTCACAGCCACAGCCACCACAGCACCTGAACCCCTCCAACCTCAGCACCCCTCAGACCATCAGCGTGCAAGGACAGCTTTGATCCCCAAAGCAAACATCAAGACATCAGTGACCATGCACCGAAACCTCAGAGGGAACAGGGAAGTGAAATGAAGTGTCCAGAGCGCTGGGCTGGGCTGAACCAGGAGGCTGCACCATCCTTGGAGAGCTGCTGCATCTCCTTCCAAGGCTTCCTGCAGCCCTGCCTGAGTGTGATGTCCCCAGAAAGTGGCACTGGCAGTGCTCAAGGCTTACAAGCTACAGCTCTTACCCCTGGGAGAAGAGATGCACCAAGATGCCTGAAACAGAAGCAGAAAAATTGTCCCCGCTGGACAAAAAGAGCAAGTCCAGGAAATCCGTATGAAAGATCAAACCCAGCTGGGCATGAGGAGTCAGGGAAGATCCCCACTTTAGGTACAGCTGGTTTGGGATGTTTGTGGGAAAAATGAATCAAAGGGTCTGCAGTGCCTGTCCAAGGRATGGTGCACACCTCCCGAAGTTCAGAGGGTCCCTAAACAATGCACTCCAGGCACTGCCCTTGGAGAGCCTCCTCAAAATCCCAAACCTCAACGTCCTTCATGATCCAGCCGTGGAGGCCTTTGCTGTCTCTGCAGCACGAGCATGAGGAGCTGTTCCACTGCCAGAAGTGGAAAAAAGGGCTGAGGGGCTGCCAGAACCCAAAAAGAAGGTGCCTGACCCCTCTGCAGGGGAGACTGTCCCCTGTTCCCTCTCCTGACAACCACACTGGCCTCGGAAACTGCAGCGCAAGGAAGCTGCAGCAGGGGAGGGTGACTGTGTTCTTTTGCATGTTTTGGTGCCATGGAGGGGATCCAGGACCGAAGGAGACTGAAGGGGATGGATCCAAAGCTGGCAGGGCAGTGACAGAGCCATCAGGCTCCCTCAGAGCAGGATCATACTGGGAGCTAACTGGGAATGCCAGAGTCACCCCAGGAAGTGCTGCCAGCCCCAGAGCGCAGGAGATAGAGCTGGGGCAGACCCCAGCAACAGCACAACCATGAGTGGGATTTCCTCTGGCTGTCCAGGGAGAGCTGCTTGTGCCTCAGCAGATAAAGGAAGGGGTTATCGAGGCCAGGCCACTTGGGACAGGCTCCAGGGGAAAGCTATTCTGGGGCTGTCAGCTCTGCTGCCATGAAGAGAAACTTCAGTTGAGAAGATGAAAATAAATGTAATCTTGCTGAGCAGAAGTGGCTGGAGGGAACCACAGAGCCAATATTGGGAACAAATGCTGGGCTCTTCACCCTGGCAGGGCTCCCCTTCCACAGCTCTGCTCAAGACTGGCTGTCCTGTCTGTCCTGGCAATCCTGGCTGTCCTGGCAACCCTGGTTGTCCTGGCAGCCCTGGCTGTCCTGGCTGTCCTGGCAATCCTGGCTGTCCTGGCTGTCCTGTCTGTCCTGGCAATCCTGGCTGTCCTGGCTGTCCTGGCAATCCTGGCAATCCTGGCTGTCCTGGCAGCCCTGGCAGCCCTGGCAATCCTGGCTGTCCTGGCTGTCCTGTCTGTCCTGGCAATCCTGGCTGTCCTGGCAGCCCTGGCAGCCCTGGCAATCCTGGCTGTCCTGGCAATCCTGGCTGTCCTGGCAATCCTGGCTGTCCTGGCAGTCCTGGCNCTGGCTGTCCTGTCTGTCCCAACAATCCTGGCAATCCTGGCAATCCTGGCTGTCCTGGCTGTCCTGTCTGTCCCAACAATCCTGGCAATCCTGGCTGTCCTGGCAATCCTGGCTGTCCTGGCAATCCTGGCTGTCCTGTCTGTCCTGGCAATCCTGGCAATCCTGTCTGTCCTGGCTCTCCCAACAATCCTGGCAATCCTGGCAGCCCTGGCTGTCCTGGCTGTCCTGGCTGTCCTGGCTGTCCTGGCTGTCCTGTCTGTCCCAACAATCCTGGCAATCCTGGCAATCTTGGCAATCCTGGCTGTCCTGGCTGTCCTGGCTGTCCTGGCAATCCTGGCTGTCCTGGCAATCCTGGCAGTCCTGGCAGTCCTGGCAATCGTGGCTGTCCTGGCTGTCCTGGCAGCCCTGGCAATCCTGGCTGTCCTGGCAATCCTGGCAATCCTGGCTATCCGGGCAATCCTGGCAGTCCTGGCAGTCCTGGCTGTCCCCTCTCTCCCCCTGGCTGCCCACCCTGCTTTAGCCCTTTGCACACACTGGGACCCATGGAGGTGACAGCCTGACCCAAAGGTCTGAGGAGAAAGTGCTGCCCCTCARCAGAGCAAATCAGACCATTCCTGCTGGGTTAAGGCCTCAAGGATTTTGCTGGGAAAGCCAAGCAGCCAGGCTTGGGAATAATGTGTCTGCACTAAACTTAATTTATCTTCTCATTTCACAAACAACATGTTTCTTCTACTGTATTTATTTTAAACATTCATTCAAGCTGTGCATAATATTTCAATCATTTTGAAATAGATTTACCCTCCTGCTGGCAAATGAATAAGGCATCCTGCTGACTGCTGGAGAAAGGGCCATGAATTAAAGTAACTGCTTTTGGTAAACTGACATGTGCTGGTTTGCTGTCTGTCTGCACACATGCTCCGGGAGGAACTGGGGGAAAGACACCCCTAAACAATAAAATAACAATAATAAAAACACCCCCTGGCACACTGTTCAGATGCTCCCACTGAGTTGCACTGCTGGATTGTGGCAGAGCTCTGCTGACAGCTCCCAGAGAATGCCAGGACAGGGATGCACAATTCCCTGGAAATTCCACTGCTCACCCACAACTGAGTCAGCAGTGAGCAAAGCCTGAAACACGTGGAAGGTGTCACATCCTCTTCCTGCTCTGCAGGCAAACTGAGGTGGTCACACCCTTGGGAATCCCGCTGGGAACAGCTGGGATTTCCCCCTCCTTTTCCCCCTACACCCACCCCTGCCTTGATCCACGGTGCTGACCCAGCTCCTGTTCCCCACACGAGTAGGGAGAAACCACAGCACGAGGTCAGGAATGTCAGCAGAGAAAGCGAGGGGAACTGTGCAAGTTCCAAAACCCTCTGCTGAATCCCTTTGCTGCAGCCCAGGGACGATCTGACGCCACCAGCACCTAAATCACATTTAACCCTGTGACAGCATCACTGGAACAGGAGTGAGGAAGGCTGAAGCTCTCCCTGTGGCTGCTTGAATACACACTAAAGAGAATTGCTGAGGCCAAGTTGACATTCCTGTGGTGGAAGAATCTGCCTGGGGACACTTGAACAAAGCCAGTGCTGCACAAGGCTGATGTGAATTGTGCTGCTCAGGGGAGGTGGGTGAGCTGGGTGGGGGGCTGGAGATGAAACACACTCAGTTTGTGACTCCTTTTTCCCACTACTGGCCCAACTTCAGTACAGAAAACATCAAGGCCTCGATCTCCTGGATAGCCACATCCCAGCCAGCTGTGCAAAGTCACCACATTAACCCCTTGTGACAGCCAAGCATGGAGCACAGGGATGCTGGCACATTCAGGGATGCGGGGGACCATCAGGGATGCTGGGGACTGCAGGGGTGCTGGGGACAATCAGGGGTGCTGGGGACAGTCAGGGGTGTTGGGGATATCAGAGATGCTGGGGAGCACAGGGATGCTGGGGACATTCAGAGATGCTGGGGACATTCAGGGATGTTGGGGACATTCAGAGATGCTGGGGATATCAGAGATGCTGGGGACATTCAGGGATGCTGGGGACATTCAGGGATGTTGGGGACATTCAGGGGTACTGGGGACATTCAGAGATGCTGGGGACATTCAGGGATGTTGGGGACATTCAGGGATGTTTGGGACATTCAGGGATGCTGGGGACATTCAGAGATGTTGGGGACATTCAGGGATGTTGGGGACATCAGGGATGATGGGGACATTCAGGGATGTTGGGGACATTCAGGGGTGCTGGGGACAGTCAGGGATGCTGGGGACATTCAGGGATGTTGGGGACATTCAGGGGTGCTGGGGGCATTCAGGGGTTTTGGGGACATTCAGGGGTATTGGGGACATTCAGGGAGGCTGGGGACATTCAGGGGTGTTGGGGACATTCAGGGATGTTGGGGACATTCAGGGGTGTTGGGGACATTCAGGGATGTTGGGGACATTCAGGGGTGTTGGGGACATTCAGGGGTGCTGGGGACATTCAGGGGTTCTGGGGACATTCAGGGATGCTGGGGACATTCAGAGATGCTGGGGACATTCAGGGCAGCCGCCACCAGAGCGATCCCGCGGTCCCCGCGCTGTTTTCTGTGCCGCTGCCACAGGATGGCACCGCTCACCTGCGGATCCGCAGCTCCGCAGCCCCAAACTCCGCGGCGCGATCTTGGAAAGCAAAGCAAGGCTTTATTGGGACCGTTCCTTGTTTTATTGCCCGAAGTTCAATGCGTGCGGTGGCTCGGTTTGGGCACGGGCCGTGCTCCTGGATGTGTTCAGCCCCTTCGCAGAAGAGTTGGGAATTTCGGCAGTGAATTCGGAGGTGATGTGTGAGTGGAGGGCTGGGGGCTGAAAACATCGGCAGCTGGTGCACCTAAAGAGGAGGGGAGGGTCAGGAAYGGCGGGGTTTGGTCTGGACAGACCCCTGTTCCATCGGGATCTGTGCTCTGTAACGTCAGACACGACCCTGCTCGCTGCTCTGTGCCCCAGATCCCCAGCGGTGTGGGGTTCATGCTGGGATCCCACGGCCTCTTCCAGCCTCACTGGTCCCAGGATTCTACCCCAGACCTCCTCGGGAAGGCCCCCAGTGCTCTCTCTCTCTCTGCTGATTTTGCAGCAGYRCCCAAGGTCCCTGTTCAGCCCCTCYGGGCTCCTGGTGCAGCAGGGACCCCAAACCCCTCCAAGGAGTCGCTGTCACCATGGCAGAGCCTGAAGAGCCACCCCATCCCTTGGGATGGTTCTGGAAGCCCAGAT